TTTTTTTTTTGGGTGTACAAGTGAGTACATTGCAATAAAAAGGAGTACGTTTACTCCCAAAAGCAGTACGTCTGGCAACCCTAGACAAGACACACATACATACATAGTACATGTTGATCTGTACAAATGCACCAATCGCGTGCATTGAAACTCGCTGTAGCTGAATACGCAAATATGCTTGCCACAATTTGTTGATTTCCAGAGGGTTACTGTTCGAATGCCATTGCAGGCAACATGCAAATTAAATATTTTTTTTTTGTTTTTATTTTGGTTATTCTCTTCACGGATGCTTTTTAACAATTAACGCTTCGTTTTAATATGCGCGTAGTTGAATTGAATATTTACCACTATACAATACTTTCGCTGACGTTTATAGTAGGATCAACTACGTTTCTGTTTGAGTTTACTATTTTTCACCTCAGTGTAGTAATCTACTGCGAGTTGTGCAACGTGCTTAATGGCTGAAAAACTGTTTTTGTTGTGCGGGTGATTTGTTGTGTATGGTTTTTTTCTTTGCAGTTTTGTTTTTTACAAGCATTATGCAATTTACATGCAACAGCAATGAAGAGCTTTATCAGTTGCCTAAGCTGCTTATATACGCGCATAATCGTAATTTTTTAACTTTAACCGCCTTTCGTTGTGCCTTTTTTCAGAATTATTTCCTCTTAATTCACTGCTTTTTCTTGTTATTTAACGTTTAAGTTTATTGTGTTTAGGAGTACTTGCTTATGAAATTATCATTATTCTTAAATATAGTGGTTATGTATGCAGAAATAAATTAAATGATCGGTTTTGTTTCTTTGCAGCTAACTATTTCGCAGCATTCTTCTTCCTGAACGCCAAAGCAACTGTTGGGTGGCGAATAAAAAAATCGCTTGATTAATAAATCTTTGTCTTCGGTTGGTTTTTGCTACAATAATTGTTGGTAACCTGCATACAGTGGTGGCAAAATGGATCATTCACAGCACAGTATACACAACCACGGTGAGTTAGGGAATTAAAGGAAAAAATTTAATATATTGGTATTTCACAAGCGGCGTCAAAAATTCAAACTTTATTCGCGCCTTTTATTTTTTATTTAATTTATTTGCATATTTATTTAATTTTTATTTTGAGTTATAAGAAAATACAGCTTTATGTAAAACTGCATATGAGCCATTCTTTTTTAAGTCGGACGGATTTCGTAAAAAAATTATGTCATGTCTCCGATTCGCTTGAATTTTTTTTTATGGGTTCTATACATGAAATAAGCTAACACGTGTTCGACGATTTTTTTTTTATTTTTTTTTTTTCTTCAGATATATGATCTGTCAAAGTTTGAATTTTTTCATGATTCTGACTAATCATGTATTTCTGCAAATCGTTATATCTCGGATTTTGCTCATCGTAGAGACTTCATCTTAACGCCGTTTTAAAGCTAAAGAAACAGTCAACATTTCTATATATATGATGGTCATGATTGTCCTAAAGTTAACTTAGCTATTAACAGCTGAACTTTTTGAAGTTGATTTGCATAGTGAAGACCAGTAAATAAGGGATTTAAAATTATACCATCGTAATCCTTGTTTAATCTCCATAAAAAGATGGTTCAAAAAAATTTGAGTTTTTCAAGAACTATTTTTTAAATATTTTTCTTTGTGGCGAGATGGTTTATTTTGTGAGAATCAACAATTTTTTGTAATTTGTTTTTGAAAACTTATGTTGAGATATACTTAGTAAGGTGTCTAATTATCAATTGATTGAAATATTTTTTTATGTTACCGCATAACTTTGGACCACACTGTTGAACAGTTTTTTTTTTTTTATCGGAAAGATTGTACCTCACAGGTTGTCCCATACTAATTTGGTTTAGATCCCATCATTGGATTATGAAAAAATTAACGGTACTCCTAAATTTGAATATGAGAATCGAAGTCGGTTTATTGTTTTCTTAAAAAATACAAGTTTTTTTTTAACTAGGAAGCATCTAAAGCCTGTGTACCCGGTCATTGTGGGACTTTATCCCAAACTTAACCTCCTACCGTCCTGGGGCTGGATTATGTAACTGTGAGAAATATTTAGTAATTTAGAATAAAATTCAGTGAGTTTTTGGAGGTGAAAACGTACACAATTTTGACAGCTAAAACTCATTCTCACACTTCCCGAATCGCAAATGAAGAGTGTACACAATTTTTAGTGTACACTTGAGAACTCACAGAGGCTCACACATACGTTACTTCTCTAGTGTTTTCAGATTGTTATTCGTTTCATACTTTCACCCAGTCGACCATATGGGTCAGCATACTGGTTTAATTTTAGTTCAATACAAAATTTGAGTTTAATTATAATTTATAATTTTCATCAATTTTTACTGATTTATTTTGTTATATTCTTTTTTTAATCCCTCATCGTTTTGTTTAAACGCCATCGATTTTTGGCATACTCGTACTTCAAAACCTTTTTAACGCATTTGGATTCAACTAAAGATCATCATATCCATGCCGTAGATACTGCAACAACACATGACCATGCAGGCATGATAATGCCTACCACAACTGTCAGCCCGATGGATACAATGGGCCACGGTGAAAGCGATCATCACGCGATGCAGCACAGTCACGAGCACGGAGCTATGAACATGGAGGGAGCGATGCATAATATGATGTCGATGGCGGTGAGTAGAAAGAAACATATTTATATACATATGTATGCGCATACATATCTACATACGTATGTATTCCTCTGCACCTTAAAGTAGGCTGGGGTCAAGGCCTTTTGCCTCTCCCAACGTTACAGCCCACTACTTCTAGGGTTTAAGAATAATTTTAATAAAAATCTATTTTTTGCAATTTTTTATAGTTCCACTTTGGCTATAATGAGACTGTGCTCTTCTCTTGGTGGAAATTTGATAGTATTATGGGTTTGATTGGCTCAATGGTTGCTATATTTGTTATGGCTGTGCTTTATGAGGGTCTCAAATATTACCGCGAGTACCTATTTTGGAAGACTTACAACTTATTGGAGTATCGACCCGTTACCGGTCCACAACGCAATCCTGAAGATCCACAGCGTAGCACGCCATCGACGAGCGCCTCACCAGTGCAGTAAGTTCTTGTTCTTTGCATTTTTTTTTTTTTTGTTTCTGTAACTAAAAACGCTTTTATTTTTGTTCTTCGTTTGCAATTTGTATACTATTTTCCAATCATGTTTTAATCTGCATTTGTTGTTGTTCGTTTTGCTTACTTTTTCCATTGCATTTTCTTCTTTCTTTCTCGTATACAAACATTTGTGCTGTCTGCGAACATTTTTTTATCCAACAAATAGATACGTTGGCGAAGTCATACACAAGCAACCGTGAGTATATCTGAAATTAAAGAAGGAATATGTTATAGGCGGCATACACCGTGCGTCTGACTCGTGAGTCGGTTTGAATGTGCCTGTGAAAATAAATATGTGTTAGTTACACCGAAATGACTTCTGGCATGACTCTGAATGATTCAACTGTGTGTAGTCGAAGGGGAGTCAACACGTATACAAATGACAAGCGTGTCAGACGCACTGTGGTATGTCGCCTATTAAACTACTACACGCATTTAAACATCATCAGTTATGATCAGCCATGATTCAATAATACAAGGTTAGATAATTATTGATAGCCGTGGTTTGACACTCTCTTACAAAAGGTTGCATTCACGAAGGACGGAGAAAGGGGAAGAATCAAATCCCCTGGTTCGAAGGAATGATCGGAGAAAATTACGCAAAGTACGCAATTATTAGAAGAAATTCCTTTTGCAAATTTTAATGTATTTGCAGGGGGTCAGGCATTTTAAACGAAATATTGAACGAAACTACGTGAATTACGTAATTTATGTGCTATTTAGCGGTACAAAAATTGCAAAAGGGCTGAAAATTAAAATAAAGCTACTATGAGATCTATGTAAACATCCAATTTAAAAACAATTTATGTCTTCAACTGTTAAATGTGCTTTATACGCATATACAAATAAACATATTGCACAACAGCTTATACTTCTATTTCACACCAAAGCTACACCTTTTCAAGTAAATTTGCAAAGAAGCAACACAAGAGAGACAACTGTCAGTTTATCGAACCTTGTATTATTGAGTCATGACGATCAGCTAAGTTAAGCACATTAATATCCAAATGGAAAGTATGGGCTTCATTTTTTACATTTTCTATAATTCTGGTGTGGTAGCAGGAAAATTCCAACAAGTTGGTTTTCCCGTATATTTTTGACAACGCTAATGTACATAAAGTGCATACATTTACTAAAAGACTGCCACAACTAAAAAATGAGATTTGTCATGAGATTCGTTTAAACTCAGCGGCCCAAATTCACATTACGAGATCGAATATTTCTTCAACATTTCATAGACAGTATGCCGAAA